ATATATATATATATTTTTTTTTTTATTATTATTATATTTTAAATTTATTTATTTATTTATTTTTGCCAAAACACATGAGGAAGATCCATTTAAAAAAAATTAATCAACAACCCTTAAATCCTGTATAATAATTCATAACCATTCTGGGAGCCTACAACATGATTCAACACAATTAACCATTTCCAAGGAAGGAAAGATAATTGTTTTAAAATTTCAAATCAATTGATCAATGACATTAATTATGTTTTCAGAGTCAGAGTTTCTTTATTGTCATTCTCACCACATGCGGTACATGTGGAGGAACGTGATTGTGTACTCAGGGTCCCAGTTACATCCAACAATAAAATGTAAAACAAAAACAGTAATAAGATCTAAGATATGAATTAAGAAAAAACATCAACTAAAAATGCGTTAAGCACTAACAGCATAAAAACAATATGTCGAACAGCAGCACGAACATGAGTCTGTGTGAGCAGATGAGCACAAATGACCACAGCAACATGAAACAGATCAGCAGCAACATGAAACAGATCAGCAGCAACATGATGTGATTTTTCACAGTGATTATCCTGGTTAGAGATTCATGAGTCTAACAGCCTCAGGGTAGAAGCTGTTCCTCAGTCTAGTGGTTCTACACTTAATGCTCCTCAACCTCCTTCCTGAGGGGAGCGGGGCAAAAAGTGTGTGTGCTGGGTGAGTGGAGTCCTTCATGATGCAGGTGGCCCTCTTCCTGCATCTATTATTGACCAAAAAGCATATTTTGAACCATAATATCACATTTTAGACAAGCTTAGCATTTAACAAGAGAGGAGCAATTTTGAAGAAAAAACTTTTTTTTTGTTCTGTGAGAAAAACATAAAGGGTGCAGAAAGAGGAAGGTCATATAGGTTTTTTTTTGTTTTGACTTTGTATGTGTGTGTCGGGGGGCAGAGTGAATGGATCCAAATAAGGTCATTCTGACCAGGACAGTGTTAGAATTCATTGGGGACAGTTGCTGGGCGTTAACAAGAGGTCAGGAGGTGAAAACATTAGGGTCACGTAGGGCTACAGGTTTGTCTTAACGTCAAGCAAGCAAACTGTTTCTGCCCCTCAGTCTGGGAAGATCATTTCCAAACAACCTGTAGTCCACCACTGCACAGTGAAGAACTAAACTTTTGGTGTGCAAAAAGACAACAAAAAAAGTGGGAAACATTTAAGAAAGTTGTCCATCTTCCAAGAAGTAAACATGCCTGCAAATGTGCCACATTATCAGACTGTGCAGTTCTTCAAGACGTAAAAAAACAAACAAAAAGGAACTCCTTCTCAGGTTCTACAGGCAGTACAACTGGAAAAAAGATGGAACAAATAAATCATGTTTGAAAGAGTTGTCCATGTGAAGTCCCTTCTCAACATGGCAGCACAACTTGGGTTTGTATAGATGCATGTGAATGAAATGTAAGTCTTTTACAACAATGTCCAGATGAGACCAAAGTACAGTAGTGGTGCTTGATCACAGCATATCAGCACAAACTCGTCTTACCAGTTACTAAGCATGGTGGTGGACAAGTAATAATTTGGGCTCGTGTTTCAGCTATCAGATCTTGGCACCTTACAGTCATTGAGTCGACCATGAACTCCTCTACAGACCAAAGTGTTCAAAGCCCAATGTGATCCATCTGACAGCTAAAGCTTGGCCCAAGCTGAGTCATGAAACAGAACAATGATCCCAAACACAGGAGCAAATCTACAGAACGGCTACAAAAGAAAACAATCAAGGGCTTACAATGGTCTAGAGGTGTCCAATCCTGGTTCTTGAGGGCCACTATCCTTAATGTTTTTCTTGTTTCCTTATACCAATACACCTGATTCAATAGATGAATTACCTCTTCATGTTCTGCAGAATCCTGTTCATCACCTATTGAATCAAATCAGGAGTGTTGGAGCAAAAACCTCTAAAACATGGGGGATAGTGGGTTTGACAGCCCTCATAGACAATGTCCAAATCTGAACCTGCTTGAAACACTGGGATTAACCTGTCTAAATAAAGGTTGAATGAAAATTACAAGCTGTGCAGACACGAATGTTTGTCTCAATGAACTGAGGCAAAGCTGTAAAGAAGAGTGGGCCAGGATTTCTCTACAACCATCTGAGGGAATGATAAAATCAATCTTTTTCAAGTTAATGCTTCTTAAGGTGATTCTACAAATTATTGTGCTTCGTTTACACACATAAAGTTAACATTCTCTTTTTAGTTTAATAACTAATGACACGGTAGACTACGCTGTGATTTTGTGCGAGTTTAAATTTAAATAATTTTAGAATTTAGTAAAGCTAAGGGTCATCTGCATTAAGTCCTGATAAAGCTAAGGCTGAGGAGGACTTTTTTCCCATGGACTGCATGTTTATGTGCAACATTTTGTTGGCTTTGTTTTTTAAAGGGCTCAGTGTGTGCCCAACCCTGCCCTCTGGGCAAATACGGCATCAACTGCAGCAAAGACTGTTCCTGTCGCAACAGCGGCGTGTGCGACCACGTCACGGGGAAGTGCCACTGCGCAGCTGGCTTCAGCGGACGCAGGTACGCAGCCGAGGCCTCTGGCTGACATCATTAAATTATCATGCACCAAAGCCTTCTGTGAAGTACTTAGTGCAAACTTTTACACTCCGACTTTGAAAATAGGTCAGACAATGGCATGGTTTATTGATATTTGTATTTAATGCAAAAAGGATGCTTTTATGCAGATACATTAAATAGTCACTCACTGACCTATTCTCTTTGTGGATTTCTAAATTAGTCGAAAAACCTGACTTTTATTTTTCTACAGATAAAGGCAACACTATAAAATCTCACGCTCAAGAGAAACGAGCATTTATTAACATCCATTACTTCATCTGAAGGTGGAGTGGAAGCTTTTAATGGGGGTGTTTATGCCTAATTAATCTCGTACTGCACGCTGCCCAGAAAGGTTTCACGTCTTGAGCCTTCATCCACGTCCTCTCCCAGCCCGTCCATTGATCTCACCATGGGCTATATGCTGTTTGGGTTCTGCTCATTAATTATAAGTAATGGGCTTATATTAAGGTCTCGTTGAAATACACAGATCTTTTTAGTTTCCCATGCCTCCTGGAGCAGCCCAGAGCAGCCCGCATTTATTAGTTCAGCTAAAGCAATTGTCTCTTTGATGGAAACACTTCCCTTTACAAGACCTTTTCTTTGCTTTATTATTTTACAAAATTGCCCTCATTCATTTTGTCAGCAGCAGGTGAATTAACCTGCCAGGAATAATCTGAAACTGTGTTAACCCCCAGCTTCTCCTGTCTGGTATAATAACATGGTTGTCTCCTGTTAAAACTAACACTGGGGTAATTTAAACATCAAGCATACCTCCAACATTTAATAGCTTTGTTAAACTCCCGAGACTGGGGACCCTTCTGATACTGTGAAGTGATTTCAGTCACTATTTTAAATAAGAAAAAAAAATTGGTCTAATATTTTTATTTATTTATTAATTTTATTAATTGAGTTTATTGTGGGGGTATGAAAAAAAACTTGACTGCCAAGTCTGATTCAGCCCCTGCAGATATGTAAATATTCATAATTTTAATCTTGAAACATTAATAATAAATGTAGCTGCTAAAGATAGTTTTAGATCGATATAAAAAAGCAACTAAAATGGTTAAATTGAGATTGTTGCTTGGGGGTTACTTGAGAGCCTTTTTTGTGTTCAAATAGCTGTTTTAAATATTTTGTTAATCATCTCAAAGACATCAAAGTTCATGTTCAATCATCCAGGTACAAAATCCCATAATGGTCAATCAGGTCATCTGGACAGTTTTTTTTTTTTTTTTTTTTTTTGGAAATACGTCTTTCCACAAAAAAAAAAAACAAAAGAAAAAAAGAAAAGAAAAAAACTGTCATTGGATTTTGTACCTGGATGATTGAGCATGAACTTTGTTGCCTTGAACCACTATGGCTGTGGCTGCCTGTCTGGGAGAAGTCAACGGGGTAGAGGACAGCCCCCAGAAGCCATCTTATCACCAGCAAACTGGTTGGTCCACTAAGTGTACTGCTTAGTGGGGAAAACAGTTTACTTGGAACTCCTCAGACTGATGAAGCCCTCCGAATAGAGGGCAAAATGTCTTTCCACAAAAAAGAAACTGTCCAGATGACCTGACTGAGCATTATTGCATCTCAAAGACAGTTTTTGGCCTTTATGATATAAGTACTACATACTTTTCCAAACCAATATTCTACTAACTCAGCTAAAATGAACCCATTTTAGTTATCTCAATAAAAATTTGGAATTGATCTCATCACCTCATAGCTGGCATTTAACCATACTTCTGACTGGTTTTGAAGCAGAGGTCTGCAATTTGTGGCTTTAGTTCAGGTGTTTTACCCTGTGAGTGTCTCTTTGCATCAGATGAGCTTTGGAGGAGATGAGACATTTTAATCTTAGAGCATCAATCTAAACCACACCAATACTCTGTAATCTTCCTCCAGATGTCAAGAGGACTGTCCAGTGGGCACCTACGGCACACAGTGTAACCAAAAGTGTGAGTGCCAGAATGGTGCCAAGTGTCACCACATCAATGGAGCTTGTCTGTGTGAAACAGGCTTTAAAGGTCCCAATTGTCAGGAAAGATTCTGTCCACCGGGTCTCTACGGTCTCATCTGTGACAAGTTCTGCCACTGTAATACCTCCAACACCGCCAGGTAAGTGAGACGTGCACACAAGGCCACACAACTTCTCTTGGACTGAGCCATGAGGCAGAGCTCCACCCTACCCCGCCCGTCTTGTAGTTCCTTCTAGACAAAGACTTTTCTGACGCAGTTTTGTCTCAACTCAGCTCTGAGCTCGCTCTCATTCTGAAGTCTGGACACACCACAGCCATGTCATCCAGTTAGGTTTTAATCGCGACCTTTGCTTCATCCATAATTTCTCAGCAGCATTCATAGTTAATGCCGAGTTAATGCTCTGATTCCGGCAGGAGTTGGGCATTGGCCATAGAAGTCATTACAGAATGAAGGAGAAAAGAGACACCCCATATGTTTGAAAGAAGCACATACACGCATGAATGGATGAATCGCCGTCGGCGCACTCTTCCTCCTGCTTGAAAATGTAGTGTTGATCGCTTCAGAGCTGAACCGTCACCTCTTTTTGTTTCTCACCATGTTGTTCCATATTTCTCTCTCATTATGTTGTAGCTGCCACCCTCTTTCTGGTGAATGCACTTGCTCTGCTGGATGGACGGGGCTTTACTGTAATGAGACCTGTCCGCCTGGGTTCTATGGCGACGAGTGCAGTCAGTTCTGTAGCTGCACCAACGGGGCCGACTGCCATCCTGTCACAGGTGTCTGTACCTGCGCTGCTGGCTTCATGGTGAGCAAGGCTACACCTAACTTCTGTTTTGTTGCACTCGGATCCAAAGCCACTACGCTGGCAATCCTTTGGAGAAGTTGTTAAATAAATGTTGGGTTTGTTTTCCTTGTGACCTTTACTTTTCAGATTTGTTTCTTTTTTAATAGTCGACCTGGTACGATAGAAGCACAGTTACATGAAACAATTCACAAAATGTTTTTTATGAAGAACAAATGGGGAGAGGAAAACATTAAAATAGAACAAAATACACCAAAAGTATGGTTGTCTTGGTGTTTAAAATCCATGAACACACTGAAACATATGTTTAGACATTTATTGGACTTTGAACTTGTTATGCTGCTGGTTTCCATAATTTATTAGGAAACTTTGGTTACTGTAACCTTTATGTGTCATGAAATGCAGGAAGTGATGTAATGGCCTGAGTTGGTGTGTGTGCATGTCTACACGTGATCATTATTTATCCTGTCTATTAGGAAAACACTTCATGGACCAGTGTATGGATTATATTAAAAGTAAAGTTTGATGTAGTAGTAGCTGAGTATCGCCCCCATTACATACTCCGAGGGCAGATGGTTGTGTCAAATTTTGGCACACAAGGAAGCAAGCATTAGACAATTCTTGAAGGAATCATATTTGTAATTAAATGTTTTTCCTATGCCTTATATTTCAGTCAGAGTCAGAATTTCTTTATTGTCATTCGCACCTCATGTGGTACATGTGGTGGAGCGAAATTATGTACACGGGGTCCCAGTTACATCCAACAATAAAATGTATAAGAAAAACAGTAATAAGATCTAAGATATGAACTAAGAAAAACATCAACTAAATATACACTAAGCACTCATAACATAAAAACATTGAACATCAGCACAAACATGAACATGAGTCTGTGTGAGCAGATGTGCACGCATGAACACATCAACATTGAAACAGATCAGCAGCAACATGAAACAGATCAGCAGCAACATGAAACAGATCAGCAGCAACATGATATGGTTTTTCACAGTGATTATTCTAGTTAGAGATTCATGAGTCTAACAGCTTCAGGTTAGAAGCTGTTCCTCAGTCTAGTGGTTCTACACTTAATGCTCCTTAACCTCCTTCCTGAGGGGAGTGGGGCAAAAAGTGTGTGTGCTGGGTGGGTGGGGCCCTTCATGATGCAGGTGGCCCTCTTCCTGCATCTGGAGGTGTAGATGTCTGTGATGGTGGGGAGGCTGACTCCAACAGACTTCTGTGCAGCCTTCACCACTCTCTGCAAAGCTTTTCTTTCTGCAGCTGTACATCCTTCATGCCACACGTTGATGCTGGAGCACAGGATGCTCTTCACAGCACACCTGTAGAAGGAGGTGAGGACTGAGCTTCCCAGACCAGCTCGCCTCAGCCGTCTGAGGAAGTAGAGTCTCTGATGAGCTTTCTTCATCAGGCTGGTGGTGTTGTTGCTCCAGCTGAGGTTGTCATTCATGTGTACACCCAAGTACTTGTAGCTGGAGACCACTTCCACCGCAGATCCTCTTATGTTCAGGGGGGTGTAGGTGTTTTTGTTCCTTCTGAATTCCACAATCATCTCCTTTGTCTTCTTCACATTGATGTGAAGGTTATTCTCTTTGCACCAGCTCTCCAGGTGTTCCACCTCTTGCCTGTAGCTGGACTCATCATTGTTTGTGATGCATCCCACCACATTTATGCTATTTTGTAGAAATAATGCAGGATGCTGTTGTTACATACTTTGTATATTTATAAATTCCAAGCTATTGTGAAGGCATAAGTTTAGAAATACTGGTTAAAGTAAGTTCAAATAACCCAGTTAAGGTGAGTTCTTTGTTAAAGATGATGTTTACCCATTGTTACTTTAAAACAACACAAATGACTTGTTCTGAGATAATTCAGTGAGAGTCAGAGAGGTTTTATTGTAATTTCAGCTATGAACAAGTACATATTGAAATGAAACAACGTTCCTCCAGGATCACGGTGCAACAGAACATTATGTGCAAAAACATACAACACACAGTGCAGATACACAACAGAACAATAAATACTAACAGATCTATAATAGATACAAAAAGACATCCAACTTAATCTGAACTAAAGAGCGTGGTGGTGAACAGGTTAGAGAAGGTGGGCCTGTGAACGGAAGATCACAGGTTCAAGCCCCTGTACCGACAACATCAAAAATGTGGGTGGGGTAGGTGAAGCACCCACACTTGCCTCCACCCTAATTCGCCCCACTCTGGGCCCTTGAGCAAGGCCCTTAACCCCCCATTTGCTCCCTAAACAGGTCTCACTTGAAAATGAGTTCTCGTGGCTCAATGAGTCTATCTGTATAAATAAAGGGTAAATGAAAAATAAACATTCTAATCTAAACAAGTAATTTAGAGACAATTAGAGACAAATGTGGATTAGTAAATGTGTAGGTGGTACATATGTACCTTATATACCTTATATAAGTTATACAAGGTAAAAGGTATACCTTATACCTTATATACCTTATATAAGTTATACCTTATATACCTTATAATGTATACCTTGTCAGGATTTGGTGGACAGGAACGAACCCAGTAGTGCAGACAGGACTCAACTCGGCAGATTAAAAAACTAAATATTTTAATTATGAGTGTATTTACAAAATAACACGCTGACGAGGCAGCAAAACTTACAGGAACTAGAAGACTTGGGGAAAACTCAAAAAGGACTCAGGAAGCTCAGGAAAGACTCAGGAGACGCAGGAGAACACAGGATACCCAACGAATACGACGCGACGAGGAACAAGACAGAACAGACGGCTTATATACAGGGACAAGACGAGACATGATTACAAACAGCTGTGACGAGACAAGGGTGGCACCAATTAAACTGAAGACGAAACACAGACACAAACAGAGCCAGCAAATGGTACCATCCTTACATACCTTATATAAGGTATATAAGGTATACCTCATACCTTATATACCTTGTATACCTTATAAGGTATACCTTATACATTATATACCTTATATAAGCTATACCTTATATACCTTATATAAGGTATATAAGGTAGAAGTATGTCCTATGTGGTTAGCAACATAAATCTTTACTATTTTTTATAGCAGCAGAGATTAAAAAAACTGAGTAAGGTGCAAAAATTCAAAAACTTGAGCAGATTGCAAAAATGTGCAAGTAAAAAAGTCATAAACAGTACAACACAGTATCTGTGTGTATTTAAGCTATGTGTGTCAGAGTCCGGGCAGCACGGTGGCGCAACTGGTAGAGCTGCTGCCTCTCAGTGAGCAGGTCCTTGGTTCAAACCCTGGTCCAGGGGTTGAGTTTCCATGTTCTCTCCATGCATGCGTGGGTTTTCTCCGGGTACTCCGGTTTCCTCCCACCGACCAAAAACATGCATGTTAGGCTGATTGGTAACTCTAAATTGTCCCTAGGTGTGAGTGAGAGAGTGAATGGTTGTTTGTCTCGTGTGTCTCTATGTGGCCCTGTGATGGACTTGCGACCCGTCCAGGGTGTACCCCACCCCTCGCACAGTGATTGCTGGACATGGGCACCAGCGACCCCCGTGACCCAAAATGGAATAAGCGGGTAAAGATAATGGATGGATGGATGGTGTCAGAGTTCATCACAAATGTGTCATAGTCTATCATGAGTGTGTGTATGTGTGCATCAGAGTCTGTCATGAATGTATGTGTGCCAGAGTCTATTTTGTGTGTGTTTGTGCATCAGAGTCCATAATCTATGTGTTAGAGTCCATCATGTGTGTGTCAGAGTCCATCATGTGTGTTAGAGTCCATCATGTGTGTTAGAGTCCATCATGTGTGTGTCAGAGTCCATCATGTGTGTGTCAAAGTCCATTATGTGTGTGTCAGAGGCCATCATTTGTGTGTCAGTGT